CTGGAAGACTACTCAGTAAAGCAGGAAACTTTAAACTGTCCACCTGTATTGGCAGTTTGTCAGTCATTTTTCTCTGTGTCCTGCAGATGTCTGGCAGACTCTTCCATGAAGCAGGAACACTGTAGCAATGTCCATCTTGTATCAGCAGTCACTTTCCTGTGGGTCCTGCGTGTCCAGTTTATACAGCATAAAGTCAAACAGTCCAGACAAGAGCAGTATCTTGTCCAAATGGCTAGTCTTGCCATATTGGAAACAAACTCCATAACGTGTTTCTTCGATGTCCATCTTCCTTTCTGATGCAGGTGTTGTTGCCAGGAGCAGTTGTGCCTCATTGTCAAGAAAAACCCTAAATCATTTTAAATTCCATATTCTGTAGGTCTTTGAAAGGTTTGAAGAATGCCTATTTATCTCAAATACATCTCTGTATATCTATAAATCTTAAGTAACTTATCTATAAGTTTTGACTATTATAGGTAAAACCTACCTAAAGTTTTGAATATTATAGGTAAATATCTAAAATCTGTACTAAATTATACATTACATTTCTAAATGAGCTATATAAACACAATAACAAAACAAGAGGAGAAATATACATATCACAAAATTGACCTTAAATTGTATCAATAAATGAAAATCCATTCCAAAACAAACTATTCATATCTATACCATAATCCCCTTTTTACCTTTAAGAGATTGGTTGTGGTCATTAACCATTTATAACTAACTTCATATAAATGAAAACAAACATTTATAACTGATATTTGGGAATTTGGGCATTGTTCTTTCCAAACTGCTTCCTGCTGGTAGGGGGATCCTAAGAAGACACAGACATCTTGGCTGTAGTCTGCAAGGAGGTCTTGTCCCAACTGTTTTGGGACAACCAGGGACGCTGCTTCAGGGGGTTTGACCTGACCAAACCATGTTAGTCTGGAAGGAATCCACAGCTTTTCATTTTCTGTGGAAACAAAAATAGAAATCCTTTTCCCCAGTAACCTGTCCTTAGACTTAGATTTTGGAGTCAAAGCATTTTTAAAATATATAAATTGAATTAATCCAGCAGCATTTCTTTTAACAGTTGTTGCTATCTCCTCAGCAGTCAAACGATACAAAAACAATATAATACCATACAGTATCCAGATTCTCTCTGTGCTTTCCATCTTTATGTGGCTTTTTATTACTCTATTTGTTCTACTTCTATTTTTTCATATTTTGAGAGGGTTTCTCTGTGTAACCTTTGTCTGTCCTGGAATTAACTCTGTATACCAGGTTTACTTTGAAATCACAGAGATCCACTTGCCTCTGTCTCCCGAGTGCTGGAATTAAAGGCATGTGCCACCACACCCAGCTACTCTCTTTATTATTCTTTTTTAAACCATTGTATCCTGTTTCTTTTTCTCTTCCAAGCCTATGTATATTTTAAAACACACTGTAAACCTTTAGAGGTTTTTCTTAATCTGAATCTGTCTTTATTATACATGTTTATCTATTTCTGGCCACAAGTCTTTTATCTGGTAAACAACAACATTTCTAAAACGAAAGCTACAGCTGTGTTAGCCTCGGTCTATCTAAGATGGTGGAGGGTACTTTTACGGCTAGAACTGAGAGCTGTGCTCACTGCCTTGGTCTACACTGCCATCCAGCAGCATGTTGCTGCTTGGAGATATGGTCACTGCCATTGCCAGCTTTCATACACACCATTCAGTTGTTAGCAGAGCTCTTTAAAAGCCTTGTGGTTTTTTGCCGCTTATGCTAAGTCTTAAGGCTTAAAGGAGCTGCACAAGTTTCTGCTTGTCTCTAGCAAAACAGAGTACAACCAAAAAAATGCTGTTACCAAGAAGCCTTGCTTGTCTCTGTTCTTTTGTTTATAAAACCCTTTCTTACACTTTTAAGTCTTAAGTTGATGTTCTTATTAGCCATGTTGAAGGTGCCATTATGTTATGAGTAGGTTTTTCCCTGCTGGTTTTGCCCCACCACCACACCAGCCCCAAATAACACACAGAGACCCTGTATTAGATATAAAGCTGATGGCCTGTTTCTAATGTTTCTTATTGGCTAGTTCTGTCTTAAATATTAACCAATTTCTATTAATCTAAGTATTTCCACGTGGTCTCATCTTACTGGGGAATGGGGCTGGCATCTGGTCTCCCCAGTCTCTACATGCTGACTCCTCCTTGCTACTTCCTCTCTCCTCCTTGTCTCCTAGTCCCGCCTATCTTGCTTTCCTATTGGCCAACAGTGCTTTATTCGTTAAGCAATAAAAGAAACATACTTACAGAATGACATCTCCCATCATCTCCTTTTTTCTGTCTAAAATAAAAAGAAGGGTTTTAACCTTAACATAGCAAAATATATAACAAAACAGTTATCAAATAAGAACCACAGTTAACAACCACAGTTAACAATATGGCAGTTTTTTTTTTTTTTTTAACTGTACTATTCAAACAGCAGAGAGCAACAGCTGCCTCCTCCTAGTTTCTGGGTTCTGGACTGCATTTACCAGCTCATTCCCCCAGTTGTGCCCTCTCATTCCTCCCATAGTGTGCTGAATAACTCAGATCCTTTCTTAACACAAATCCCAAAGCATGAGGTCTTAAGAGACTTCAGGAAGGGGCTGGAGAGATGGTTCACAGTTAAGAGCACTTGCGGCTCTTGCAAAAACCTGGGTTCAATTCCCATCACCTACAACCAGATGCAACTCTCGCTCTAAGGCATCTGGGGTCCTCTTCTGACCTTCACAGGTACCAGTTATGTGTATGGTACACATATGTACATGCAGGTGAAACATTTGTGCAGGCGCATACACACATACACACACACACACACATACACACACATACTTTTTGTTTTGTTCTGTTCTGTTTTTCAAGACAGAGTTTCTCTGTGTAGCCTTGGCTGTTCTGGAACTCACTCTGTCAACTGACTTCAAATTTGCAGAGATCTGCCTGCCTCTGCCTCTTTAGTGTTGGGATTAAAGGCATGTGCCACCACTGCCCAGCACACACATTTTAAAAATTTATTTCTTCAAATGTTTATTCAAAAATAATCCCCTTGAGGGACTGGAGAGATGGCTCAGAGGTTAAGAGCACTGGCTGCTCTTCTAGAGGTCCTGAGTTCAATTCCCAGCAATCACATGGTGGCTCACAACCATCTGTAATGAGATTTGATACCCTCTTCTGGAGTGCAGGCAAACATGCAGATAGAATACTGTATATATAATAATTAAAAGAAATCCTTTTAAAAATCCACTTGAAATGAAGATTCTGAGGCCCAGAGGAAATTAGGCCTGACTCAAAACTAACCCAATCTCAACACCCCTTCCTGAATCTAAGTGGTCCTAATCTTTCACAAAACTGATGATGGCATCCACTCCATTGTAGACTGAGTCCCACCTGGGCTCGCCACTCGTTAGTCCCAAATAAATGCAGAGAGGCTTCTATTAATTATAAACTGTTTGGCAAATGCTTAGGCTTCTTATTGACTAGCTCTCTCTTAATTGTTAACACTTAACTATTAACCTATGTTATCTTACCAGAGAATGCCCAGTATCCTATCTTCCCAGCAGCTACACCGTGTCTGCCTGGGAGCTCTTCTGTGTCTTCTCCCCAGAATTCTCCCCCTTGTCTGGTAGCCCTGCTTATACCTTCTTCCAGGCTACTGGCCACCCAGTGTTTTATTCATTAACCAGTAAGAGATATATATTATATATTCACAGCATACAGTACATCCCCATCACTCCACTCTCTTAGTTCCCTTGTCTTGTCTGATCTTTTGCATGTCCCAGGTAGCCTAGGTAACACAGGCTGGCCTCAAAAGTCACTGTATATCTGTATTTTCTCTTGGTCCCCTCCTCCTGCTTCTACCTCTTGAGTTCTGGTATTACAGGAACTCAATCCTCAAATACTTCTACCATTTATATAATAGTTGCTAGTGTTGGGTATTATTTACATGCATGCTGTTTTTTTCTTTTTTTGATACTGGATCTTATAAGCTATGTAGTTCAGGCTGCCTTGGAACTCCATGTAGACCAGGCTATCGTCAAACTCAGGGATCCACCTGCCTCTACCTTGTGCTGGGATTAAAGGTGTGTTTCATCATGCCTGGCTAATATTCTTTAAAATACGTAGTAATGACATATGCCTTTGATCCCAGGACTCAGGAAGCAGACATATGCTTGTTATCCACCCCCCCTTTTTTTTTCTATTTTATGTGCATGTATGTCTGTGTGAGGGAGACAGATCCTCTACAACTGGAATTACAGATAGCTGTGAGTCACCATTTGGGTGCTGGGAATTGAACCTGGGTCCTCTGGAAGAGCAGTCGGGCCTCTTAACTGCTGATTTCTCCAGCCCTTCGTTGACTCTTTTTAAAATAAGTTATTAGTTAGCAGGGATGTAACCTGTAATTCCAGCACTTAGGAGGCTGAGACAGGAGGATCCTGAATTTGAACCTATCCATCGTGCTATAGACCACGTCTCAAAAACATAAAATAAAAATAAGAATTATTGCCGGGCAGTAGTGGTCCATGCCCTTAACCCCAGCACTCTGAAGGAACAAGTACGCCATCTCTGTGAATTTGAGGCCAGCCTGGTCTATAGAGCTAGTTGCAAGATAGTCAATGCTACACAAAGAAACAAGGATGGAAGGAGAAATAAGAATCAGCACTGAACCTGATCCTCCACCAGCTTTTTGTTTGGTTTGGTTTGTTTTGTTAAAGACTCTGTGATTCAGCCTCAGGCCTGAAGTCCTAATTGTCAAATGATGAAAGCAAAATTCCCTGCCCTGGGCACATGGTTCCAAGCCTAGGTAGGCACACCCTACAGTTGCCCCCTTCTGCCCCTCATCTCCTGCCTGTGTTTTTGAGAACTCAGAATTCATTTACCAGTTTTTAAAATCTCAAGACTAGTTCATCCACCCCCAGGTTTGAAAGAAGGTATTTCCCTTCCCTGCCCCCAGGCCCTTCTTCTTCCCTCCCCCTCACCCCTCCCTATCTCCTCTGCCTCCAAGTTCAAAAGCAACAGAGCTCAAAGAGGCCTGCAGATAGCTCAGAGTTGACCTCTCACAGCTGCTACCAAAGCCCAGGAAGGTCCAGGATGAACAGCTTCCTCCTCGTCATCACCGTCAGTCTCCTGATTGCAGTTCAGGTAAGGACAGTCCTTAGTCCCTGCCTCAGTCACCAGGCCTCCACTGATGCACTGGGTTGGGGTTAGGGGGCTAATGTAAGTTCCTGGGCCAGCCATCTTTCTACCACAGTGACAGAGGTAGATGGTCACCAACAGGAAACCTGGGGTACAGGAGGGCCTGTATGCTTGGGTTCCCATTCCTCTTAGCAGCTATCAGACTGCCCCCAGGGAAGCCCATGGTCCCATGTTGGGAAATCTTATAGGGTGTCAGGTACACGGAGGCACGCAAAGGGTTTTGTGCAATTCTGGATCATGAAACCTGGAGAAAAGGTTCTGTTGAAAGCTGCTGAAATAGCTTTGGTAAGAGTGAACACACATCTAATAGTCTGCTGTAGATGTCCTGTCCCTGCCCCTGCTATACAGAAGCCTGGGAATGCAGAGACAGAAGCTCCCAATCAGACTCTAAATCAACCACCACTCTAGGAAGCAGCCTCTGTGGCACCATGTGCCCAGAGGGACTGATTAATACAGGAATGAAGCCATTAAGTTCTTGATCAAGAACATCTCGTTCAAGTGTCATGGGCAGTTTGATTGCCACCAAAACTAGTTTGATTCCCATCAAAAGCAGCTTCAGTTGCCACTCAATCAAGCATCAAGGACAACTTGTCGCATCTGGCCATTTCCACCCCACTCTGCCAGGGACTGTTTCATTCAGCCCTGTCTAATGTCATACTCCCAGCTATGATGGCTTCTTCCTGATAGAGGAGACAAAATTCCCAACTGGAGTACTACAACCCAGAAATACCCCGCTTCTTGGAGGAGAGTCCTTTTCTCAGGCTCAGAAGGTCAATGATGGGTTTCTGCTACCCTCTGTGCTGGAAGATCTGTGGCCTGAAAATAACAGGAAATTTCTATGGGGCTGGGAAAATGACAGGAACAGAGATGGCTTTGTCACTGCTTGTGATGAAGCAAGAAGCCAAATATCCCAACAGGGCCTATGGCAGAGGCTTCCTGAAGGCCTTGAGTCGGGGGAAGGCACAACAGGGACTGAGTTCGTAACATGAGTTCAAATCCTGAGCATTGCAATTCTCTTGCAGATACAAACAGGAGTCTTGGGAAACAATGGTACCGATTTGGACCCCACTACTCCTGCTCGTCCTGTCGCCGCCGCCACCACCACCACCTCCGGCTCGGGCTCCGGCTCGGGCTCCGGCTCAGGCTCCGGCTCCGGCTCAGGCTCGGGCTCGGGCTCGGGCTCCAGCTCCGGCTCAGGCTCCGGCTCGGGCTCCGGCTCTGGCTCCAGCTCCGGCTCCGGCTCCGGCTCCGGCTCCGGCTCCGGCTCCGGCTCCGGCTCTGGCTCTGGCTCCAGCTCCAGCTCCGGCTCCAGCTCCGGCTCTGGCTCCAGCGGCACCACCACCAAAACAAGCATTGGGAAACCCGTGAAGAGTGGAGTCTCATCACTCATTGATATGGGTGCCTGCAGTTTCTTCTTCTTTGCAAACACCTTAATGGGCCTCTTCTACCTTGGCTGAGGTGATGTCACTTTTATAGCCCTATGCTCCTCAGACAGCTGCCACCATCAGTAGCAAGACACCCCAACTCAGTCCTTGGAAACGGTTGACACCAGAGATCCCAGGAAGTTAAAATTGACAGCCAGTGGCCAAAATGGGGAGGTGCTGATGGAAGGGGGCAAGTGACACCCAGCTGGGGCTCAATAAAGTTATACTTATGCTTAGATGGGCCCCCAAATGTGGTCACTGGTTATTACTGATCCCAAGAGTCATGTGTGCAGGAGCATTTGGAGCTTTCTGTGGCTATGTGCAGGGAAGGTGACATCAAGGCAACTTCCCCCAGGTTCCCTACCTTAGAGTCTTCTTGCAGAGACAAGGACAGCAAACTGTCATCCTCATTGCCATTAGTTATATTTGCTTCCCCTGTGCCTGAGTATTTTGGTAGTGATGAACCCAGTTCTATCCCCGACCCCACACAGCATCCCTCAGGCCCTCAACACCTCAGGTTTAGATAGTCCCCCCCCCACTACCTAGATGTCTTCATAATGACAGATGCGGGGAAATCATAGATAATTTGGCTCTGTCTCCCTCAAAACTCCCAGCTGGAGTACTGCAGACCCAGAAGCTATCTGTAAGGGTTCACCAAAGGACATCTCACAAGTCACCTGTCTACATATCTTCTATCATGAGGCTAGAGGATGAGGAGGCAGGCGTTACCACCCACACCCACAGCCAGGGAAGGCAAGAAGGACAAACAGCCCCTCTAACCACTCCCCCTCCATGGCTTGGGGCTGGTGTTTGGAGCTACAAAGTGAGGAAAAAAGCCCAGACTGGTCCCCAAGGGCCCCTGCCTCTGTGTGGAACCTATGCCAACAGAGGACTGGAAAGCAAGTACAGCTCTAGGTCTCTGATAGCCTGACCTGTCACCTAGTTAGGGACCTAGCCCCTTCTGGCTTTTTGACTAAGGCCAAACCTTCAGCATTTGATACTGGAGTTGGGAGAAGCAGTGAGGCGCCCTAGGACAAGGCTTCTTGGTCTGTAGACCTCCCTCATCTCTCTTGCCATACCCACTGTGGGTTCAACACCCTGAATCTTGGAAATTTTCACCTTTGGACACATCTGTATTCCTAGAACATTTTCCTCTGCTTCCTCTATGTGGCCTAGCCAACTCCTTGCCATCCCACGGGTGCCTACTAGGGGTGATTCTTCAAATCAAACAGCCCTCCACTTCTGTTCCAGGGATACCCATCAGAACTCTGTTTTGTGATGGAAAACAGGGGCTTTGTGGCCCGCCCCGACAGTCAGGGAGGCAGACCAGCTAGTCTGGTTCTGGAGCTCCCTCTGGTGACAAGGGTAGGCTGTACAAGGAGAGAAGCCAACCTGAAGAGGGTCCAGAAGTCTGGCAACTGCGACCATCTCCCTCCCAAAGGTAAGTTGCAAAGAGATAACTGATGACACCTAGCAGTGTGATAGAAAATAGTTTATGTTACAGCAAAAATCTATTAAAAAAAAAAAAACATTTCATTCCAGCAAAAGCCTCCAGCAGGAAACTGGGGGTGAAGTTGGTTCAGAGTATGTGGACAGTCCAGATCTGGGAAGGCCTGTCTTTGGTTGGTTCCCATAGCACCACGTGGTCCCGGTCATAACCTCTGCCACCTGAGGGCAAAATTCAGATGTGGTCAGGGTGAGGAAACAGCCAAGTCCCTGGTCCCCTTGGGTGCCCCCTCCCGCACACACAGCCTATGTTACCCTTCACATCGAGGATCTGGCCTTCAAACATCTGGCTGCAAATGTGACCCAATTCACCGATGCTCCAAGTTTGGCGTGGTATGCGGCTCTCAGCCCACAGCACCACTTTGGAGCCTGGGCTAGGAGGTCCAATCACCTGTAGGCTCATGGAGGGGGCCACCTGAGGCCCCAGAAGATCATTAGACATTGCATTCCCCACAGGAAATATCCCATGCTCAAGCTTATACCTTGGACACTGAGAGTTTTATGTGAGACAGAGTCTCATTATGTGGCCTTGGCTGGCGTAGAGCTTACTATATAGACCAGGCTGGCCTTGAAATCATAGACCTCCAACTGCTTCTGCCTCCTGAATGCTGGAACTAAAAATGTGCACTGCCATGCCCAGTTCATAAGCTGGTTTTGAATGCTGGCTATTACAACTGTGGCCTAGGCAAGTCTCTTTATCCTTTTTTAGATTTATTTTTTGAGTGCTTTTTCTGAATGTCTGTCACATATACACCTGGAGCCCACAGAGGTCAGAAGAGGGCATCAAATCTGCTGGAAATGGGAGTTAGGGATGGCTATGAGGCATCATTTTTGTGATGGGAAATGAAACCAGGTCCTCTGCAAAAACAAGAGCTTTTAACTGCTTTGTCATTTCTCCAGGCCCAAATACTAGTTTTTGGAAGGTTTAACATGAGAGAAATAAAAGAGGTAGCATTCTCTACTTCTTCCATGCATCTTGGATCTATTTGGGCTGGAACTTCCCAAAGTAGGGTGGCAAACCAGAAGCTCAGCAGAACCCGTTAGCCCCAGAGCCATACCTGGTTCTTTAGCAGTCCATCTTCATAGTACCAGATGCAGCTGCCGCCGGCTTGGGGCTCAGAGACCACCACTCGGCCTGCTTTCATGTCTTCCACTCGATCAGGTACTGCCAGGAATCCCCCTAACGCCGCATTCCAGAGGCGGAAATAGGCTCGACGCTGATGATGAGGATGGGCTGAGGGTCTGTCCTCTAGGAGACCCACACCCCAACCCCTCCTTGCTTCCAAACTTTTCCTGACTATGCTCTAAGTCACACCTTTTTTACACACCCATACTGAGGGCACAGGCATAGCACATGTGCACAGTTCTGTGACCACAGAAACCTACACTTGTATCTAGGGATCCTGGCAGATATACCCATTGTCCACAAGATGACACAGTTTACAGAAGGCACAAACAATTCCACAGGTCCATGCAGTCATCACATTCACACATCATAATTGACACACAGATCCCCGTTTAGTGTCAAGTACCTGTTTGTTACAGGTACAGCTGATGGTAAAAATATAGATGTGCACATCACACACACACACACACACACACACACACACACACGAGGGGGGGGGAGAGAGATATGCATGCACACATACATACTAAAGCTAAAGAGAAATGCAGTAACACTAATGGCCAGAAATCAGACTGGCTCAGTCAGCATCAGCAGCGTCCTCATTAGAGGCGACAGTAATGGAAATAATGACAAAAGCCCTGTGTATCATTTGCGGCGTGTTTCCCACTAGAGCACTGCCCAAGGATTCTGCAGTCATGATCCATCTTCAGTCCTCAACAAAGTCAGGACACAAATGCTACCCCATCTCCATCTCCCGCTTTATAGATGAGGGAGCAGCTGGGCAGAGTGGTGCACACTTTTAGTCCCAGCCCAGGAGGCAGAGGCAGGGGGATCCCTGTGGGTTTGGGGCCAGCCTGGTCTACATAGAGTCCCACGCCAGCCAGAACTATATAGACACAGTGAGTCCCTGCCTTAATATATGGGTGAACACACATACGGAAGCCAAGATCCTTGGAGGAACAAGGCTTGCCCAACTGAATTCCACGTCCACTCCCTGGGTCTTTATTTCCCCGTGTGAGGGTTAGAGGTATCTGCCAGGATTTCTTCTAGCATCACTGCCATGACAGTCTGTGAACAGAGAGACTAAACACATGCCCTTAAGGGTACATGAATGTATATGCTCAGGGCAGAGGCATGAGCAGGCACGTATACACAACCCATGTCCATATACACAGAAACTTACAAATCACCTCCATAATACTCAGATGCATGACCTCAAATGGTGTAGGCACAAACATACTCTTAGATGGACACATGTATGTGTGTGTCCATACACACCCCCAGGCCACAGCCATATCCTAGAAATATATGTGTGCAGAAATGAAGCCAGCTTCTAAACAAGCAGGTGCAGACACGCACCCTCACATGCAAGCTTCGTGCTCCCCAAAGCCAAGTATGCCGCCTACTGCTAAGTGGTACATGAGATGATGCGCAGTTTGGGGTGAATAAGCCTACTGTATATATTGTATGGTCCCTTAGGACAAGGACAAAGTTGCTCTGTTTTCAAGTTAATGTAGAGGAAACTACAGAGATGACAATGCAAGAAGAGGCTAAGGACAAACTGTGACAACAGGACACAAATGTTAAGCTTTGAAACACACAGGTGTACATGCATGGACAGGCACATCCAGGGACAGGTACACCCACAGGTGCTCACACTGACCGCTACCTACCTGCTTGATGGGGTAGAGGGAGCCCACCCTCTGGGTACCGCTGTAGGTCAGCCAGTTGGTGATCTCGCAGCTACCCACTAGCCACTGCCGTCCCCGGAAGTCACTGTGTTCACAAACCACCCACCTGCACCCAGCAGATGCCAGAGACACAGGGGGAGACAGACAGACAGACAGACAGAGGACAAAGCACAGGTGTTAGAAAAACCTCTGCCTCCTCTTCCCACACACTAGGATAAGGGTTTGCAGTGGAGAGGAGGAGCCCAGAAGCCTCCAGTGCACGCGATCCCTTCTTCCTAGCTTGGAGTGGGGTCCCCAGCCCACACTCACACCCAACCCAGCTAGGAGCCCTGCCCCCCACACTCACATGCCACCCTTGACTCGCACAGACAGCACATGGTTATTGAAGCCCTCGGCTTGCAGACTTCGCACCTCCCGGGTCAGCTCAATCTCCTTGCCCTCGAAGCACTCCAGGCCGAAGAGGGACAGGGAAGGCTCTGAAAAGTGCTGGGGTGGGAAAAGAAGAGGTGAGGCCATGGAACTCCCAACTCAGGCTCTGCCCTACAATCCCAACACCTGCACCCCAGACCCGCAGGCCTCCTAGCTTCTGGGGGTATTTACTACCTATCAGCAGGGCCCCCAGACTTTCAGTTTCAGCATGGGACAGACTGGCACCAGCTCAACTCAAAGTCTCCACTTTGAAACATTTCTTGCATATATCATTTTATTGTAGCTTTGAACCAGGATCTCACTAAATTTTTCAGACTAGTCTGGAACTCACTGTAGCCCAGGCCTTAGTTTCCTGAGTCCTGGGATGTGCATCACTGTGCCTAGCTCTCAGATAGTTGGCACCCCTAAGAGCTAGTGGCCAGGCTGGAAACCTGGGGGCTCATTCGATATCGTCTCTCGCTGACATCGTCTCAATGATGATAAGTAATAA